TGTTCCCGGAAAAACAGAAGTCTGTCTAAACGTTTGGAATCTTGGAAGCGGAAGAGAGTGGGAGGTAAAAACGTTAATGATAGCAGAGCCATAGGCTTTACAAACAACCTTCAAACACAGAGGGAGACTGGAAACGCTGATGTAGCAGATGCACAATTGGTCATCTTTGAGAATTACACCTGCTGGATTTGTCAAGAGGAGATGAGTAGTGAGGCTCTTCTTCTTCAACATTATGAAAACCATATGACCTATGTTTGTGAAGATGACTCTTAAGTTAATCAAAGTAAAAACTATGGGGAATTCTGTAGGCTCTAGGAGGAGGGGGTGCGTCAAATCAACTTGCACCTCCCCACAGGCACTGGAGGGTTGTTGACCAATGATTTCAAACAAAGTGAATTAGTTATACTTTGCCTACAATGTTTATGTAATTGCGAAATCGTTCTGAATTTTTTTGCCACGGCTGAGGAGTTCTTAACATAGTTCGCCAGAAAAGGGGCCAGAGAAAGAAGAAGATAGGCCACTGCCAGATTCTGTCAATCCGTGAATAACTCTGCTCTAAAACTGCCTCGAAATGAATGTGCCATCAGTGAAGATTTGGGCTGCAGAATTATATAAGAACCGAGGCTTTTTCATTTAAAAATCTTGAAGATAAATTTACAAGTTAGAGATTACTGCACATTTGAACACGGACGTCCTACCGGGAGTGTCCCATCTCATGTATCTAGTGTCACGTAACTAGAGAAATATAACTTACATGTATTATCCCTGGGGGGTACTCTTAGGAATTCTTGTTGTGGCGCCCAGTTCTGTAAAACCTGACCCTATTTCAGACCAAAAATGTCATATTGACACCCGTTTTCAGACCAGACTTTTAAAATCCATACCCGTTTTCAGACCTGGCCTTTAGGCAGAAGTAATGTCATGATTACTTATAATACAGGGCAAACAAAAATTTATTGAAATGCATTTCGAGTTCGCATATTTCTATTTGGCTCTTTTTTATTTGGAATTGATACGATAAGTACGTTCATACGCTGCCGTAGTTCCCTCATAAAGCATAGTCCATTCCAGAGAAAAATTTATAGCCGTTTTCAGACCAAAAAGGTCAGAAAACCATACCCTTTGGGGCGGCACTTACCTATATGGCTTATAGAAGGGGTTCTTCCACCCCCCCCCTCCCCCGGGAAACGTTCTAACATACTTTTTTCTGCATCGTTCATCTGTTTGCTAAGAAGCCCCCAACTTGGAACACTACTGAAAGATCATTATGATCAGCAGGAAACTTTGTGAATAATCAGATGTACAACTTTCTTTCAATTTTACTTTTGAAATTGTGATGCCATTATCAAAATAGGTACATAAAGTAGTTTATTTGCCATATAATCAGTTTTGAAGGTCCAATATTTTGCCAATTGTCCACGTTTCGATTTTTCTTAATACTCCCGGCCCTCAAAACGCTCGCAATGTACTCTCAGAAAATCTAATTGTCCCAACGCCCCCTCCCCTCCAAGAAACAAGTGCTGTCGGTTTGGTCGGTCTTCTCGTTGGAACGCACTCTCACAGAAAAAAAAGCTGGCTAAGGGCCTGGGCGAGGATAATTTTTTAGAATAACCTACTGCCTCCTTCTGCATCTCTGTCCTCAGATCTTTCGCGCCGTTGTATCTCAACCAGGAACGAAAAACACACCGAACAACTACCTGCCTTGCAGGCTACTGCAAGTAGTAGTGGAGAACTGAACTGCTCGCTAAGCAACTGACGGTTTTGCTGCATTTTATAATAAAAACAACTGATAGAAAGTATAGGTTGTACATTTTATAGCCTCGTAAATTTCTAAGATCAATATCATTACGGGCTTTGAATGCATGTAGGCGATTTATTTGAGAGATTACCGATTAGCCTGCGAGCAAGCTCATTTGGGTATATCGTGAAAAGTATACGCGCGTGAGGCACGCGAGAGGAGATGCGAAAGCGGGGGATGGCCCCTCGCGGCTTGCTTGGTTCGCCCAAACATGAGAGCCATATCGCAGGTAGGAGTCTATAACCCGGAGCGTGCAAACCCCATACTAGGCCTATGTTACGGCGTTTTTACTGACCGGTTTATTTTTAGACACCTTTTAAGGCAATTTTTCCCGCGAAAATGGAATCTCCTCCACGTCCATGAACGCATTCGAAGTATAAGCTATCAAAGAGGAAAACGTAACGTCATTAAAAGGCAAAAGTTATCATTTTTAGGGCTGTAGGTTTTCCCGACTGGTTTGTGTGACTTTAAAGATACCGTAACATTTTGAAAATAAGCCCCGGGGCTTATATTTTTCAAAAGCCCTTTTTTTTGAGGGGCAGATTTTTGGAGGGGTCTTTATTCGGAGGGGCTTATATACGGAGGGAAATTTGCGTTTCAAAATTGGCCAGGCTTATACTGGGAGGGAAATTTACGTCTCAAAATCGATTGGGCTAGCTTATGGTTAGAAGCAAACTTTATCAGTGATTTGCAGAAAATAGCCTTGAGAACGTAGATCTTACTGAAACTAAGCCATGC